GTATAGCCGAGAAAGAGAATTAATCTTGAATTAAGCAAGTAACTAATGACATGCAATGGAATTTAAACCTTCTAACCTTTCAAACTTCAAACTCAACTCTCTGCCCGAACTTGATTCATCTCGAAATTGATCACTGAATACACATCGTTGAAGGTTAGTATAGCCGAGAAAGAGAATTAATCTTGAATTAAGCAAGTAACTAATGACATGCAATCGAATTTAAAGTTTCTAACCTTTCAAACTCAACTCTCTGCCCGAACTTGATTCATCTCGAAATTGATCACTGAATACACATCGCCGAAAGTTAGTATAGCTGAGATAAGAGAATTAAGCATGAATTAAACAAGTAACTAAGACATGCAATCGAATTTAAAGCTTCTAACCTTTCAAACTTCAAAAAACTTCAAATTCAACTCTCTGCTCGACTTGATTCGTCTCAAAACTAATCACTAAATACACATCTCTGAAGGTAGTATAGTCGTAATTGTGAAGAAAATTGTGAGTAAGAAGTGGCGAGAGAAAATCGCACCAACGAGAGAAAATCGCAGCGGCGAGAGAAAATTGGGAGCGAAAGATGGAAAGGACGAAGTGAATTTAATTTAATTCAGCCAAATTGTCATATATGGTTAAAAAAATAATGTTGACAAATATAGTAAATATTTTTTCAAAAGTATACATGTAAGTGATTTTCCCTTGAAACAATCCTTTGTTACATAGCCCAAGACTATGTATAACTAGCCAATTAAGAAGTCTCGGAAAATCAAGATAGGTCAAGAAAAGTGGCCCAATTGGTTTAAAGCCCAACTTATCATATCCATGCCCTTTCCAAACCGGAGTATTATCCCGATATAGACACACACACAAACACAATCCCGCGTATATTTCTTGAGTCTTCTATATACAATTCATCCCAGTTTTGTTCGAAAATCTTCAATGGATTCCCAATCACACCCAGTTCAAGAACCATCACAAACCGTAAATTCATACGAGCAGTACCAAAATTCTTCAGATTCGTACTATCAAAACCCTTCACAAACCCTAGGTCAAGATCCCGCACCAGGTGTTTGTGAAAATGCCGAGCTGAACGGCTCAAATTCCAACTTTCGTGAAAACTCAGCTAAGCCAGGCGACAATAATTCAGCTCAAAACAAACTATCAGATTTGAATTCAAATCTTATGTTACAGAAGCCATTGTTGTCGGGTAATGGGTTGACTAACACTCATAGTGGTGGTGCCGAGAGGGACCAATCAGGTGGTGAAGAAGAAACTTCCAGTAGAAGAAGGAGGAGAAGCCGATGGGACCCACCCCCGACTGATTCGAGCAATGATGGCACTGGAGGAAATGATGGAACCGGGGCTGGACGAAAGAGGAAATCGAGGTGGGCGGATGATGAGCCGAAGCCGGTGATTCAGTTGCCTGATTTCATGAAGGATTTCGCTGGAGGTATTGAATTTGACCCTGAAGTACAAGCTCTTAACAGTAGATTACTTGAAATTAGTAGGAAACTGCAATCTGGTATGCCTTTAGATGATAGACCTGAAGGAGCTCGATCCCCTTCGCCTGAACCTATATATGATAATATGGGTGTACGTATAAATACGAGGGAGTATCGTGCTCGAGAAAAACTAAATAGGGAAAGACAAGAGATTATATCACAGATAATAAAGAAAAATCCAGCTTTTAAGCCACCAGCAGATTATAGGCCTCCTAAACTTCATAAAAAGCTTTACATTCCAATGAAGGAGTACCCGGGCTATAATTTTATCGGCCTTATAATTGGGCCGAGAGGGAATACTCAGAAGAGAATGGAAAAGGAAACTGGAGCAAAGATTGTAATTCGAGGTAAAGGATCGATTAAAGAAGGGAGGTTCCAACAGAAAGGGAATTTGAAACATGATCCGGCAGAGAATGAGGATTTACATGTGCTAGTGGAAGCTGATACTCAGGAGTCACTTGAGGCTGCTGCAGCTATGTTGGAGAAGCTTTTGCAGCCCGTCGATGAAGTACTTAATGAGCATAAGAGGCAGCAGCTCAGGGAACTTGCAGCGTTGAATGGAACGATTAGAGATGAAGAGTTTTGTAGGCTTTGTGGTGAACCAGGTCATAGGCAATATGCCTGTCCTTCTCGCACCACCACATTTAAAAGTGATGTGCTTTGCAAAATATGTGGTGATGGAGGACATCCCACTATAGATTGTCCAGTGAAAAATACTACTGGAAAGAAAATGGATGATGAGTATCAGAACTTCTTGGCAGAATTGGGAGGGACAGTTCCTGAATCATCACTTAAGCAGAATGCAGCAACTCTTGCTCTTGGTCCTGGAAGCACAGGCAGTAATCCTCCTTGGGCCAGCAGTAATAATACAAGTGGTGGTGGTACCACTTCACACCCTGGATTAGGGTCAAATATAATGAAGCCAAAAGAATTTGACGATACAAACTTGTATATTGGTTACCTTCCTCCTACTCTGGATGATGATGGTTTGATCAATTTATTCTCTCCCTTTGGTACCATCGTAATGGCTAAAGTTATAAAGGATCGTCTCAGTGGTCTGAGTAAAGGTTATGGTTTTGTTAAGTATTCAGATGTTCAACAAGCTAATAGTGCCATTGCTGGCATGAATGGTCATTGTCTTGATGGGAGAACTATTGCTGTGAGAGTAGCCGGCAAACCCCCTCAGCCTGCTGTGCCTCCAAGCCCTCCTGCTCCAGCAATGCCCCCATATCCTGCTCCTAATCAGGCATCTGGAGTCTATCCGTCTCAGCAGTATGCAACGGGTGGTCCCATTGGTCCCCCTGGTGGCTATGCTGGGACTCCAGTTCCTTGGGGACCACCTGTGCCTCCACCATATGCCTCTTACCCACCTCCTGGATCAATCATGTATCCTCCTCCTCCTCCAGGTCAATTTGTACCTCCATATGGTGCACAGTATCCTCCACCAATGCCAACACCATCTTCCGGTGTCCCCGCTCAGACAGTTTCTTCTGGCGAAAACCAGCAAAATTATACATCTTCTGGTGAGACACAACAAAGTTATCCTCCCGGAGTGCAATCTCATAATAGTGCTCCTGTTCAATCACTTCCCAGTTATGCCTATGGCAATTCCGTCGCTGCATTGCCACCCCATACCCAACCTGCATATCCAACATCTTCATACAGCTATCCTTCTTATTATGGCATGGCACCACCACCTCCTCTTCCTCCAACTGCAACACAGTCCAGTGTAGATCATTCACAGAGTATGAGCAATGTTCCCTGGGCCTCAAATCCACCAGAGCCTGCACCTGCACCTCCACCTCCACCTCCACCATCTGCAGAGAAACCTCCATATGGTACAGATGCAGAGTATGAAAAGTTCATGTCGGAGATGAAATGATGATGCAGTTAACTTTGTATTTGCTTGTAGTACATGGTATGGAAATGTTACAGTTGCAACTTTTTGTTTTGGTGTACAATCTTGGTTTGCACTTTTCATGCCTTATGTATGCACTCATACTCACACAGTCACACTTACCCTGGGACATGTTGATTTCTTAGTGATCTTATGGTACCTGGGGCAGAAGGAGAATCATGTCTTGTTATCACAGACTCATAGCTGATGATAACTCACTGTTTTCCACCTTTAGTCCCCACCCACACACGCACTCTCCTTTTTTGAGGGGTGGGGGTACTTATATATTAGCCATACTCATAGGTGCTTTCTGTATCTAACCTTTTCAGCATCTTATGTGACCATTTCTTAACTATTCTTCCACTTCCACTAACTTCCCCGAGAAAGAAAAAAGAGTTGGCGAGGAGGAATTAGAATGTAGGTAACCAAATTTGTCAGCCATTTTCATTTGTTCTACTTCTACCTGTATCTATGTCTAGAATTTGGCCCTTCTGTTCCACTTGTTGGAATT